GGCGAGAATTTCGTTAGTCAGACGCACAAGTTGATAGTTTCTGGTGAGCCCCGCATTTGTTCGCATGGGCGGAGATTTATTTATTATTATGGTCTTTTCTTTGAACTCTTAGAGTCGCTCCATAGTCAAATTTTTAGTGTCTTGAGTATTCTTCGTTATTATAGATTTATGTTGAGTATCGCTCATTCTTATCAAATTTGGAGATAAAGTAGTATTTCTAATTGTTGGTGGGTGGACTATTAAAGGTAGATATTTATTTTGATTAATTGATAAGGTCATTGTCATTTGAATTGCTATTAGGATGTTTGGGTGTTGATCTGAGACAGGGAAAATTTTGGGATACTCCAAAAACAAGGGAAACTCTGTCCGATTTTCTGTAAAATACCGATGAGGCATACTTGGGGGCACTTGCTCCTAGGTACCGGTTATGATCCTAAATTGGGTCGTGACAAAGTTGGTATCAGAGCCTAGGTTATTCTTGTGACTAATGGAGCACACTTCGGTAGTAGAATCTCAATTATGGTTATGTAGCCGGCCATTCCCATAATCGTGATTCCGCGAGGGCGTGATAGGATGTGTCTTGGCTTTCTTTCTTATTCCTCCGTACGTGTGTGGCGATTAGGGTCAGATAACTGAATCTATCATTACTTACCCTATTCGTGTACGGCTCGGACCAATTACCCTATAATAGAATTTGGCTAGAGGTTCAAACTTCAAAGACGTCAAATTTCGCCAATGGACATGCAGCCATCTCCAAGCAAAGAAACACTACATAAGTAGTATACAAGACCAGTGAAAGGTTCATTGTGCCGTATGAGGTGCTTTCTGGTAAGATGTGTAATAGGGTTCATTTCGAAAATTTATACTAGTCCACTACTACAACGATAGAGGAGTGCTATCACAAAAAGAAAGAGATCTTTGTGGATATAATAGATAAACATGAGAAGAATGAGCAACAGAATAGGGGCTCTAAATTCCTCATGCACCTAAAAGATTATGGGGAACAACAAAATATTCTTAATAAAGTTCCTAAAGTTGAAACTACTAAGTTTACTATTTCTGATAGTTCAAAGGATCCTTAAATGTTTTAGTAGAATACTTACCACGTTATAAGCTATAGCATGTTTCATGAAGAGGTCTATGGAACATGCAACTTTTAGACTAGAGAACATAGCGAATACATGAAATGCTACTGTACTCTTAGAGATGCCAACAAGAGCAACACAACTAATTTGGGAATAAATTTCACTAAAGTGTTTATGAGTCACTTCCTTCTTGACAATTTGTGACGTGAACTTGCCTGCTACATCATTTAAGAAATTGATTTAGACGTTGGGTATACTTACATATAATACCAAACTTTCTCGGCTGGATACGCAAGCAACGTCTTAAGTTTAGAGGCTTGTTGAAAGGTTGGTTAATTATTTAAACGAGGTAGTAACTACATATATGAAGACTTAAACCTATTCTGTAGCAGTTGCACTTACTAGAAAGAATGAAAAGTTGGACGTGATAGGCGTGCAAGAACTCACATAAGAAGATCGAGATTAGAATATTTTTTAGTATGGATTTTAATATGAGGCGAAGATTTAAAAATCAAGAACGTTTTGAGATATTAAGAGATCCTTTCGAGTTGCCACTTCTGTGAAAAATCTATAGTAGTTAATCATGTGTTTAAAACTTTTAAGATTCAAGTTAAGAGAAGGAAACCCTAGCTAACCAAGTTGTACTTGATATGGTTGACTCTAACGTACATATGGATATGGATTAACTATCTTCTTACCACGCTACCCTCGATTATTATGGAAAGACTATTAGGTTGGTGGACTTTAAAAATCTAGTTTTGTCCAAAAAGAGGATTATAGGTTTTAGCGATGAGCAAATCATATATTTTGAAGACTTAACGGTTATAGAAGAAAGGTTGTTTGGGTATCATAGATACGGTAAGGGGCACAAGAGAAGAAATACTTAGTTTGAGAAAAAAAAAGGGAGTATCATAATGAGAGATTCTCTAATGTATTCCTAACGATTTACTATGACTACCTCCAATATGAGAAATAGATTGAACTGACGCCTGACACGCAAACTGTATCATATGGCACCAACAGAGTTGAGAGAGCTAATTGAATAATTGAGAGACCTACTGGATACAAGTTTTATCATACCGAGTGTTGCACCGTAGGGTACACCAATATTGTTTGTGAAAAAAAAGGGGATAAATCTTTAAGAATGTGGGCCAACTACAGATAATTAAATAGGATAAGAATACACAACAAATATCCCATGTCTTGTATAGATAATTTGTTTGATCAGTTACAAGGAGCCATTGACCTTTAGTCTGGTTATCATCGGCTTAGAATAAGAAAGGAAGATATTTCGATATTGCTTCTGTACTCGGTACAAACATTATGAGTTATCTGTGATTTCGTTTAGATTGGCCAATGCTCAAATTGCATTGATGTGTATAATGAATATGGTGTTCAAAGTTGCTTTTGGAGCAAAGAAAAATTCATAGTTTTTACTTACTATATTCTCGTACCCAGGAAGAGCACGAGAATTATTTGAAAAATATGTCAAACATGCTGCAGGAAAATCAATTTTTTTCCAAGTTCTTCAATTAGCTGGACTCGATGGTATTCATAGGACACATGGTATCTAAGAATGAAAAATATGGCAGATTCTAAGAAGATAGAAACAATTCATAAATGGCCGAGATCCATTTCCCCTACAGATGTTACTTTTGGCTTGACAAGCTAATATAGGCATTTGTGTAGGATTTCTCTAGAATAGCACTATCACTCACCAAGTTAACATAGAAAATCGCTAAATTTTAGTGGATGGAGAAATGTACAACGAGAAAGCATGTTTGACAACCACACTAATATTAGCCTTATTCCAATTGGCTTTAGAGGATTCATGATGTTCTGTGATACATCGAAGGTAGGATTAGGATATTTTCTAAAGCAGAATGGTCGTGTGATAGCTTATGCTTCAAGGAAATTGAAGAAGCCCAAGTCGTATTATAACATTCATAATTTGGAGATGGTCATAGTGGTATTTCCTTTTAAGATTTGGAGACACTATTTGTACGAAGAAACCTATGAGTTTTATACATAGCACAAGAGCCTGAAGTACATTTAAAACCAACAGAGATAAATATTTAGCAATGTTGATGGAGGGAACTACTGAAGATATAATTGTACTGTTCGGAAAGATAAATATTATAACTTATGCAAAAAAAATTATGGGTGATTTGACGCATTTAGCTCCTGTAAAGATACTTCTGGACAAAGATATGCATAGTCTAGAATGTACACGTATTAGATTCAATGTAAAAAAAAAAATCAAAGACATTATTGGCTATTGGTCAAGCCCGATGTAGATGTATAAAGGCTAGCCAATACGAGGATGAGCGATTTTTTAATTATCGAGATTAGTTTCTAGGTGATAAAACAAAGGATATGATTGTTAATAGTGAGGGTATTCTCTGACTAAGTAATTAATTATGTATAGCAAACATATGGGTTGAGACAAGCTATCCGTGATGGAGCTCAAACTCTAGATACAATGTATATCTCAGGTCTATAAGATGCACCATGACTATAAAAAAAATTGATTGGTTGGAAAAGAAAGAAGGGAAAAAAATTTTCGTTAACTTTGTTTCTAACTATTTGACATGTCAGTATGTTAAGGCAAGAACTTGGACTCACAAGCCCTCTAAAATAACTCAAGATTCTTAAGTGGAAATACAATAGAACAATACATATATGACTAAATTACTCAAACCATTTGAGGTATAATTATATCTGGGAATATTGTAAATTGACTTACCAAGTAGGCACATTTCTTGCTAGTCAAAACCTCTTATAGTGAGGTAAAATATGCATAGATATACATGAACAGAAGATTATCTGACTCAATAGAGCTCTATTGTCCATCAGCTATAATAAAGGATCGCATTCACTTCACGATTTGAAAACCTTTTCAAGAAATGTTGGGTACACGAGTAGATCTTAGTACTAGTTTTATCGCACGGAAACGCAAAGTCCGAATGTGCTTTACAGATCTTGGAGGATATGTTGAGAGATTGTATTCTTGAGTTTGGAGGTAGTTGGGACGCTTATCTACCTTTAGCTGAATTCGCTTACAACAATAGCTTCCAATCCGCATCGTACGAAGCATATATGGTAGGAGATGTCGTTCTCCTATCGGAGGGTTTGAAGCTGGTGAGACTAACTTATTGGGACCCGACTTAGTACAAGAAGCTATTGACAAGGTCCAACTTATCAGACCGTGATTGCTCACAGTTTAATGCAGACAAAAATCTTATGCAGATAAGAGAAGAAGAGACTTAATGTTCACAATTGGAGACAGAGTGTTCATACATGTATCTCCTATGAAGGGCGTGATGCGATTCGGAAAAAGAGGTAAGTTGAGCCCGAGGTTTATAGGTCAGTATGAAATACATGACAGAGTGGGAGCCGTGGCATATCATTTGGAACTTCCTCCTTAGTTATCTTATATTCACGCAGTGTTTCATGTCTCCATGTTAAAAAATGTATATCAGACTCCTCTCAAGTGCTTGAAGCACCTACTATACCACTCGATGAGAAGTTGTCTTACGAGGGGGAGCCGATGGCTATTGTCGATAGACATGTGAGGAAGTTACAGTCAAAAGAAATTGTGGTTGTTGAAGTCTCGTGGAGAAATCATACCATTGAAGAAGCTACTTGGGAAGTGGAAGATGATATACGAGTCAAGTATCCTCATTTATTTCGGTCTACAGGTACATACTAGAGTAAATTCGGGGACCGAATTTCATAAGGTGGGTAGGATGTAATGACCCATATTTAAATTAGGGTATGTTGGTCTTTTAACATAAAAAAAACTACAGAAAAAGAAAAAAAGAAAAAAACAAAATAAGAATCTTGTGGGCCGTGACCCATATAGTAACGTTAGGGTTGGAGTGATATCCTTTTAATCACTACAAACTTCTGCCACATAAGTTATTGGAAGAAAGCAAAATGCTTTGGCTATTCAAATTAGTTCGAAACTAGAAAGGAATTTTTCCATATGTTAAGGGGAATATAAGGGTTAACTAGAAACCAAACAATTTCTTGGTTGCTACATACAAGAACGTAGAAACAAATCTTAAAAGCTTGGTTATGGTATTTGCGCAGCCACGAATGTAAAGCTACGTGAAAGGAACAAATAATTTGTTTGGCATCCGGAAAGGAGAGAACGCAGCAGCAAATCCATGTTGTTCCAGGTCATATAACGCCACGTTGAGGAACTAAATAGCTTTATTACTAGGGTCAAGGGTTCAGTTTCAAGAAAACCTATCAAGTTACCTAACTGACGAAGAATGTAGATTTTCATGTGCCAAGAATGAATTGTTTGACCATCCTTTGGCTTTGTTGGAGCATATGTTTGGAATGAAAGGAAATATTGAGATTGATCGAAGAAAGTGGTACAGATGGCTCGAGGCGGCGAGTTTGGAATTTCGACACGAGTACTGTGAGTAGTAATCTTACCACAATTTGTATTTACATAACCTGCATGGTTTATATATGATTTTAAAAATAAATGTGTTACCGATGCTTTTAAATTGCATGTGGGACAACTCTTTTACTTGATATGGTACCGAATATTTTGCTTGAGATGCTTACTAGTTAATATAAACGTTTTTGCCGTTACTAGATATATTTTACCATTACTTGAGATGTTACAGTTATTTGAATTATTCTCACTGTTACTAGACATGTTATACTGTTACTTGAGATATGATTACCGTTACCGAAATAAAATTACAAGATTTGATAAGAAACGATATGCTCTTTATTATTTCGAAAATGCTTTTGTACGAGTACTTACTGTTTACAAGAAAGAGTATAAATGGGAGGAGACTTTGAAGGATTCCGTAGCTAACGGCGGGTTCGTTAGATCTGGTGCACCTTGTATTTCAAGATTACCGATTACAGTTATAGCCCTCGCTAGTGGGAAGGTAGAACTAGCATACATTTACAGTTTTTCCTCGAGTAGGGACCTACAGTTATATTTGGCTCCTTTTACGAAGGGGTCCATACAGTGATACAGATTACATGATCCTTCCTTGAAAACCTCCCAATCATAAAGATTTGATATGACACAGTGCTTACCGAGTCTATTACAGAATTGTTAAATTGATTTCTATTACAGGAAACACATGATGAGACTGATTATTATTACTATTTTTTTTTTGAAAGGGCATTTTATTTCTATGATAGTTCCTAATTATTAGTATACAGGCATGTTTTCTGACTTGTCCCCAATTAAAAACGGTTGTGGTTAAGTGTTATTACTCACTGAGCTAGGGGCTCACTCCCCACTATTTTTTTTTTCAGAGACAACAGTTGAAGGGCGAGGATTTCGTTAGTCAGACGCACAAGTTGATAGTTTCTGGTGAGCCCGGCATTTGTTCGCGTGGGCGGAGATTTATTTATTATTATGGTCTTTTCTTTGAACTCTTAGAGTCGCTCCATAGTCAAATTTTTAGTGTCTTGAGTATTCTTCGTTATTATAGATTTTTGTTGAGTATCGCTCATTCTTATCAAATTTGGAGATAAAATAGTATTTCTAGTTGTTGGTGGGTGGACTATTAAAGGTAGATATTTAAATGATTAATTGATAAGGTCATTGTCATTTGAATTGCTATTAGGATGTTTGGGTGCTGATCTGAGACCGGAAAAATTTTGGGATAGTCCAAAAATAGGGGAAACTCTGTCCGATTTTTTGTAAAATACCGATGAGGCTTACTTGGGGGCACTTGCTCCTAGGTGCCGGTCATGATCCTAACTTGGGTTGCGACATTTCGACCGTATACAACGTCATTGATTCTTTCTCTATATGACAAAGTTACCCTACGATCTAATGGTCCACAACGTCATGAAAGCAATTCCTTAATTTCATGACCACACCTTTACTTTTTTGTTTCGCTACCTTTAATTAGAAAAGAAAACAGAAACACAACACAACGTAACCTCTTTTTTTTAAATAAAAAACTATATAAAGAAACAAGAAGTAAACGAGAAACCACTGGATAATTAGCTTTATAGCTGTAGCACCTATATTATATTATAATGTTGTGTTTAGTCTATGGAACGCTTTGTTAGTAATGAGATAGCAGCTTTTGTTCTAGAAAGTATTCAATAAAAAATATCAATACAAGCATATTATTTAAGCAAAATCTAATGAGTTCGGTCGAAACATAATTGGGCTTCTACCTCCGCCATTGTTGGGTGAAGATTGTAGATTTATCTTGCAAGGTGCTTGCACCATTCGACCAAGAGGGTTTCTGTATTCTCTATAGTGTACAAAGAATTGTTTAATTTTATTTCTAATTGAAATTTGAACCTGACAAAAATGATGCATAAAATTAAAACTAAGATAAAATTATCGTTTAGAATTATAGAATGCAAAATGGACGTATTCATAGTTTTAGTTTGCCAAATTCAAAATTCAGAAAATATTGTGGACACAAATTAATTAAGGTGCATACATCTAGGAATATTTAGGGGTTGACAAAGTTGAGTTGATATGTTTGGTCTTGCTTGCAACAATCAATATTAATGGCAATTTGGACCTTTTAAGGAGTGGTCCTGTGTTAGATTCTTTTATGGTATAATTTATGAGAACAGCTTTTTTGAAAGTAATATTGTCTGTATCCCGTGTGGCTGTGGCCTTCCCTTTCTCAAAGAAAAAGAAAAGAAAAGGACATGAACAAATTGATGGCACTAGTGGACATTTTCCAAAGAAAAAGTCAAGAAAGAAAGTTGTTAAGCATATAAGAGGTCCAAATGTTAGTATTGAAGACTTAGATTATATTTGTACAATTAAATGAATGTTTCTTTTGATGATTTTAGAAAAGAAATTAGCCTAGAATAAATGAGGTAATAAGCTCTTACCAATAATTCCATAGAAAGGTAAAATATAGATCTACAACTTTTGTGAAGATCAAAATATTAATTCCGCTGTTTATATATAAAAAAATAGGCCGAAATGTATGGTATAGGCGTTTGCAATAATTTTGGGCGGAAAAAGAAATTGCAATCACAAACAACTATAAAGAAAAAAGGATTTTATTGATAAATATTGTAGGTTACAACTCTATTTATCCATTGATTCTTCCCTCCAATTTATTCTACGTGATTCGAGGGCTAGAATAACATGTTTCTCGAACGTAGGATGGTGCGGGCTTTCATGGATTTATTTGATATCCATGAAGTATGTTGTGGATCTTTTTGAAGTATTTGATTATCAAGAATTATCCGGCCACTTCTTGATCTCTTTGTGAATATCCCGTGAGTTTATGGGATTTTCGAGATGATCTCCATTTTTGAGATCTTTTATAAAGGATTATGTAACCCTTTTTATAAGAGTGACCTAGGGTTTTGGTAGAGTAGCCTCTAAGCAACACTGACAGATTCCTAAAATTTCAAGAGGTCTTGTAGTATCTTGAATTTAGGATTTAACTCCATCCATTAAGATTTCGATGTCTACAAATGCCCCATATTTCAAGGTTTGTCGGGGTGTAACCTTGGCGAAACTTGAAGACGAGACTTGAAGTACCCGATCATCACAATAGAAAATTTTGAAGCTTGTAGTTTCGATTTGCAGGAGGAAGAGATGAGGGGCAGAACTGGTCCCACTAGGCGTGCCAATTTGTTTGCAATAATTTTGGGCAGAAAAAGAAATTGCAATCACAAACAACTATAAAGAAAAAAGGATTTTATTGATAAACATTGTAGGTTACAACTCTGTTTATCCCTTGATTCTTCCCTCCAATTTATTCTACGTGATTCGAGGGCTAGAATAACGTGTTTCTCGAACGTAGGATGGTGCGGGCTTTCATGGATTTATTTGATATCCATGAAGTATGTTGTGGATCTTCTTGAAGTATTTGATTATCAAGAATTATCCGGCCACTTCTTGATCTCTTTGTGAATATCCCGTGAGTTTATGGAATTTTCGAGATGATCTCCATTTTTGAGATCTTTTTTAAAGGATTATGTAACCCTTTTTATAAGAGTGACCTAGGGTTTTGGTAGAGTAGCCTCTAAGCAACACTGACAGATTCCTAGAATTTTAAGAGGTCTTGTAATATTTTGAAATTAGGATTTTATTCCATCCATTAAGATTTCGATGTCTACCATAGGTTTAACGATCCACTTTATTATATGCTGCAGCTATGGGTAATGAGCAGTTAGTAGATCCTAACCTGTTTATGAATAACCAACAAGCAAATTCCCACATAGTTTGACCTCTTGAGTTTGAGTACAATGTGCCATTATATAATAGTACAAGATTTGATAAATCACATTTACTTCGTCACAGTATAATTTTACTTCTAGTGCTATGTGGTATATTATGTGATTAATCAGGGGCGGATCTACCTAGTGTGAAGCGGTGTCATCCGACACCGCTTCGCCGAAAAATTTCATTAAATATACATATAAATTACATGCAAGAATATCTTATTCGAATATATATTCTAAAATAATGTTGCTGAACAAACATCCATGCTTAGTTCATTGGTTAAGTGCTTCTTTCCTTTAGGAGAGGTTAAGGGATCGATACTCAATTCTATATAGAATGCATGCTTTTAAGTTTTTAAAGCTCTTTTTTGTGAAAAATTTGATGTCAGGCAATGAAAAATTTTTTGTAAAAAATTTGTTCATTCTGGAAAAGAATTATTTCAGCATACTTGAAATCCTAATTTTTAAAAACTATTCATCCTCCTCTGCAATATTTTTTAATATAATGAACATTCATTTATTCACTTCTTTAAATATCGACACCGCTTACAAAATATTCTGCGTACGCCCCTGTGATTAATCAATGCAAATCGGATAAGATCTTTCTTATTACATATATGTTTCCACTAATACGGGGTTGAAACTTTAACCCATTAACTCAACGGAAATGGTTGAGATGTCATCCTAATTTTAAGGAAATGAATAGATTTCTTCCCTTACTGGAATTAACATATCACTCTTTTTAAGATTTTGGAGCAAAATTTACAGAGTGGTGGATGGAGCTTTATTCAATCGGTTCAATGGAAACTCAATATATTAGAAACAACAATTAACAACAACTATGCATCAATCCCAAACAAGATAAGATAAGCGCGATATTTAAATATGGAACATCGATATATGAGGGAAAATACCAAAATCTCAACAAGTATGAAATGCTGAACTCAAAAGTGCAATGAATTCAATGGCAAAAATATTTGAAGGTTGAACCCGTCATATTTAAATATTGAATCTCTCTTTAAAAAATATGACTTGTTTCTCTGATGTCTTGTTACCTTCTCATGTCCTCACATTTAACTTCAACTAAGTTTTTACTTACTAAAAGAGGACGCAAAATCATTTCATGTAAAGCTAAACCTACAACTAAGTTTTTACTTACTAAAAGAGGACGCAAATTCATTTCATGTAAAGCTAAACCTACTTACTGATCAAAGTGATCCAATTTCGAAAAAGTAGTACTCCTCCGTTTCAATTTAGATGAGGTAGTTCGGCACGGAGTTTAAGAGAAAAGATGGTGTATACGGCGGAAATCGGGGCTAACCGTTTTCGTCCTTCGATGGAGAAAAAGATACCACGTCGAAAGGCCAGGATGTCGAGTCCGGGATCGAGGTTTCTTTCCAAGATCGAGGTCGACATCGTTAATCGAGGTCACAAAGGAGCATGCTTCGAACTTATGCCGGTATAAGGCAGTAACGGAAAGGGTGAGATATCCGCAACGGACCAGAGATCGTGGCGTGAATCTCGTAACGGATCAGTCTATAGCGGTTAATTAGTTGTTAATATGATTTCCTACTATAATTAGAAGTGTACCTTATTTAGGACTCCCCTACTATATAAAGGGGGATCCCACTCATTTGTAACCATCATTGTTCACTGAGAAGAACAGATACATTCATTACTTTCTTGTTATTTTGCTTACTGTTCATCAGAGTTGCTTTATCATTTGCTATTCTTATTACCACACCTCGAGGCTATCACGAGTCGATGTCAAAATTTGGCTAGCACACTGGTTTGATATATTTTATTCTCTAATTTATCCATTTAATTCCTTGTTTATCAATTGGTATTCGATTAAATCACATATCCTTAAAACCACAATATAAGTTTAATTGTTACTCGAATTTTAGGGTAAACAGTTTGGTGCCCACCGTGAGGCTAAGGATAATAGTGATTGTTTCAGTGCGTATTCTGATGATACATGTTATTTCAGACTTGTTCTTGTCAAGTGGTTAGCTCTCAGGTTAAAACATGTCAAACTCATAAAACGTACCCGTACATAGTGATAATGGTCTCGGATTTCACGGGAAAAATGACAATGTAATTGCTCCAAGAGCCGGGGTGCCACCGGCTAATCTCGGGGGAGCACCGATTGCCGATCCAGTCGATATCAGTTCACACGTTGCTCTAAATGCAAACCTAGGCGCGGACCCCGAAGGGAGTGTACGCGGTGAAGGCCGATCTGGTGGTTAGGGTACACAGGGCAGAGGATACGGGGGAGTTAGTCTCCAGGTGATATTCAAGATGCTACAGGCTTAGCAGGCCGCTATCGCTCAATTGCAAAATCAACATAGGACTCCAAGTAGGGTCGAGCTGGAAATCACTCGTCGTACCGAG